GCGTCCAAAGTAGAGCTAGTTCCTGTTACAATTATGCATGGTGAACCAACGATAGAGTTCTCTATGGATGAGGTTAATCAATTCATAAGGGAGGAAGGATTGCATCAAGCTGTTATCATGAAATTTTCTTATGGTAAACCTGATCTACAGGAGTTTAGAAAGATTTTTGCGTCGCAATTTGATATTCAAGGACGTTGTAATATAGGACTGCTGGAATTTCGTCATCTGTTAATTAGATTTGATCTATACACTAATTAAGTTCAGTTCTTATCAAAATCTACTGGATATGTCAAGGCAAGAGGAGCTGAGTTCTTTTTCAGAACCTTTCCATGGACGCTAGGGTTTAATCCTAAAGAGGAGACGTCCATGGCAGTGGTGTGGATATCTTTTCCAGGTTTGCCTCCTAACTTATTCGCTAAAAGATCATTGATGTCTATTGCTTCTGCTGTGGGGAAAGCTATTGCGATAGACAAGGCCACACAAGATAGAACTAGACCTAGTGCTGCAAGAGTTAAGGTCATCCTCGATTTGTTGGACAAGCACCCTAAAAAGGTTAAAATCTTGATGGTTGATAGAGTTACTGGGAAAACAATCGTGCATTATCAGGAAGTANGGCCAAAACCACAACGAATACGTTACAATAGGCTAAGGGAATATAACCCAATCGAAAAGACTCGAAAAACATAGAAATTCACGAAGTTGGCAAAACCCGAGCCCCGGGCCCACTTCTCGAAAAATCAGAAAATTAACATCACCGGATTCCTTATCCCAGCACGAGTCTATACAATAGAGATTACTTAAATTCTAAAAGGGCTGGACAAGTGGTTATGGAAGTAGAAGCACCAGATGGAAAATTGGTTGAACAAGAAAAAAAAGTAAGCTGATCGAGCAGCATGCTTTACAGGCTGATGGAGGAATAGAAACTGAGGAAAACATGGTTGGGGATAGTACAAAGTTAGACAAGGGTCCACCTCCACCTTCAAGAGATGTACCTGCTAGAATAGCATTGGCAAGGATATCCAAGGCTGTGGATCCAATTGTGGAGGCATATGACAAGTTGGCTAATGCAGAAAAAAATTTGTCAGCCAGTCGAAGTCCAAAGATTGATGTTGATCGTGCAGAGATAGGTGTTCAAACTGTTAGGGTCAATGAGGGCTTTAGTGAGAAGCTAGAGGTGAATCAACTGGTAAAGACTGATATTAATTCACACGCTCAGCAAGGAACAATTGATATGGTAGCTGGAGATCAACTAAAAAATGCAGGAGATCGACCTGACAAAGGTACTGTGGCCCAAACTTCAGGTAAGGAAAAAGATGGAAATAAAACTATAAGTTTGGAAAGTAAAAGTGAGGAGGTAATGGAGGATGATCAGGGAAGAGATATAGGCAAAAAGGAAGATGGTTGGAACGTGGTAGCAACTAGAAATTCTCCTGTGAATAAGGGGGGGTCACCAAAAAGACAGAAGCAAAGTGTTCGACAAAATGACCACCCTATTGTGTCCAGCTCAAATGCATTCGAGGTTCTTGCTAATTCTGGGGATCCAAAAGTTGTTGAAATAGGTTTAAATGATCAAGAAACTTCAAAACAAATTGTTCCACTGCTCAGCAACGATCGAAGAGGCCAAGACAGTCAGGATTTGGTTGAAAAATTTGGCGTTCGACGAAATGACTCAAAGAACAATTTCAGTAATGAACCTATAGGAGTCCATGCACACAGTTCTAATGCTGAAGCCATAGCTTCTTCCAATATACCTACTTTAAAGTTTTCTAATCCTCAAGTAGAAAAAATTATCAAGGAAGCCCATAATGAGATGATGATGCAGAATATAATGGTTAAACAACCTTTGATCACATTGAACACATCCGTTTTTGAGGTACCATCTCAATCTGTAGAATCTTTTGGTGAGTTTGAAGGGGAATTTGGGCATCTCATGGTATCAACGGGTAATAACAACGAGGTTATTCAAGCAAATGTGAGGGATATGGTTATCAAATCCAAGCTATGGAAAGATCAACGTGAGGATGATGATGAAGAAGATTGGGGTGATGGTTTTGGTGGCTACTCAACTGACGAAGGAGAACAGGAGGTTGATTAGGAGAGTGAAGGGGAGGAGCTTGATCCTCCTGCTAAACAAAATTCCCATGGGAAAATCACAGCAAGTCCAATGAGCAAATTGAACTCTCAAGCGCCTATTTTCATTCCCAGAAGTTCTCCACACGCTGCTATATCAAATGCAGCAACTGAAAGGTTAGGTCATGATATAGCAACATCCTCCAAGCATAACACTCCAGCTGCTACTAGTGTTACGCCTATTACAAGGTTAAGCCATGATGCAACAAAAGTTGATTGGCAGAACACTCCAGCTGAGCGAGGTAAATTTGGGCAGCAACAGTTGGTGGTTTCTAAACCTAATATTTCGGAGGAGGAAAGGAACCTTTTGGATGCTATGGTAAGCTCTGCACCTGTAATTCATACTAATTTTAAACAGGTCCTGTAAGTAAGAACAAGAACAAGACGCAAAACATAGTGCAATATCAAAACAAGGCAATGGTGGCAAATCCTACTGGAGAATTTGCCTTGGTTGATGTTGTTCAAAATGCCCCACAATCTGTAAATTTGGGAGAGAAATATTTGAAGTAGGAGAAGAAGATGCCATGTTACAACAGTGTAGGGCAGAGGCAGCAAGAAAAGGTGATTTATCACCTATGCATAGCGGAAAAAGCAAGAAGTCTCGAACAAGGGACAGAAGTTGGGACGGCAGGGTGAATGAAGATGCAAACATAAGGAGACTCCCAATGAGAAATGCAAAACAAAAACAGATCACTCAAACCACATCTACAAAGTCCAATCGTTCGAAGAAGAAAGCATGATTTTTGAAGACATCTTGAAAATAGTGGTGGATGAAGACAAGAATCTACAAATTGAAGATTTCACAAGATTAGAGAAAAGAGAGCACCATGGTGGTTTCTTCATCTTTTTATTCTATCATCACATTAGCATAGTTCTATGTAATATCATCACAGAATATGTTATAAATTTTGTGATGATCATAGAATATTTAGTATTAGCTAGTTCTTTCTTTTTGCATGCTTGTTAGTAGGTGAGGCTTTTTATTTGCCTCAATAGGATTAGTAAGGTAAGGTTTAGCCCAGTATATATTACTCTAGCCCTATACCTTTGGAAAAATATCCAAATGGCTATGAGATTATATGCCCTCGTGAGACTTTGCCGGCAGCTACACCATGATTCCTCTACATGAGGTTGCCATAAGGGCATTGTGAGGCGCAGAGGAGTGATTATATAGCTAAGGCATAGAGGCAACATTTCTGGTGCTATTGTCCCCCTTACTTATACTCTTCCTATATAGTTCTTTTTCCTTTTTTAGTTATTAATAAAACTAGCCCTAGGCTATGCCTAGTGGATTGCTTAAAAAAAAAATTACTTACCTTAATATATTAAAGAATTGATTCAAAGAATCACATGATTACATGTTCAAACTCAAGAATGTAATGTACTTGTACCAATTAATCTTGTAGCTTACATCTTTTTCATCAACTTCCATCATTATCTCTTTCCTTTGAAAAAGATGTACTTTACTCTAATAATTTATAATTCTTGTAATATATAATAATGTCACAAACTAACAATATTTAAATAAATTTAGTCATATGCTCATGAGTTGAATATGCATTTTTGTGATAAAAGCTTCCCCCACCCTCCAATAAAAATCAGATTAACCAAATTTGGAAGGAAAGGGAACACAAATTCTTCCTTTGGGACTTTATATCTATGCAAAAATAGTTTTCTTTAACTTTTGATCAGGCTACTTGTAGATCAAATTATATACTAGGATATAGAACATTTCAATAATTTAATGGAACCTAATTAAACTACATAAAGTTCTTGAATTTGATCACTTTTAAGAAACCAACCGTAATAGTTGCTTTCTTTGTTGACATAATAATTAATGTTATGGTGTGACAAATTTTCGAAGAAAGAACAACAACAACAACAACAACGTCATACCCAGTATAATTCCACGGAACTTTTTGAAAAAAGAAAATTTATAATTTTTATAACCTCAAGTAAATTCATTCCCTTCTCCCTCCTTCCTAATTCCTCTATTTTTTTTTTCTTTCTTTTTTCGTTTGGTAAATTCAATTAACATTAATTTTCATTAGTAGGTGTCTAAAGCTTTTCATTTCTTGTTTGTATAAGACAATTTCCATTAAAAAAGAGAGACATTTGTATAATATAACATTTATGTTTGTTTAACATTTTCAGTTCTATAGGTCACAGTAAGTCGTACTGGAAGCAGCCACTAATGCTTGCATTAAGATAGACTGTCTATATCACACCCTTTGGAGTAGGACTCTTCCTCGAACCCTGCGTGAATGTCAGATGCTTTGTGTATCGGGCTGCCCTTTTCCTCTTAAATATTTTCAGTTCCACGATAGTATTCTTCTACATCTTATATAATGTATCAAAAATAAATAACATAAATCTTTGGGAGTATTTAGAAAAATAGCTAAAACAAATTAAATATATCTTGAGAATGCTCATGTAATAGTCTTATACTTCTACAATCAAAGGCAATATTTCAAGTTTTCACCAAAAATTACACTCTCAAGATACAAAGAAAGAGATATACTTTGCAATTAATCAATAGTCGAGCCGATATCAAATAGTTAAAACAAAACAAAAGAAGATGTCATCATATCTTTCCCGCTCAAATAAATTTGATTTTCCACCTCACGTCCTTCAGTTAGTTAGAGTGAGTTGGTTGAAATGACGATAATACCCTCAGAAACCTTTTACTTGAAAGTCATTTCAAGGGCAAATAGTGTCAAATAACTGAATTATGATTCTGTTATAGTTACAAAGACGGAGCAGTATATACACTAAACGGTTTCCATTTTTCCTTTTCCCAAATTGCCCCTCCCTCACGGGAGTTTTTGCAAGTATATATATATTGAGCTAATTGCATCTTCATTCTAGCAAAACCCATAACTTCTCTCTTAATTTACTCTTTCTCTCTCTAGTAGAATAATCAGTATCTTCGGCTCACTTCAAACAGCTCGTTGCTGTTTCATCAGGTAAAAAACTCTTAATTCCGTTAATCTTCAATTAAAATTCTTCAAATTCGTTGAATTTCTGAATATATGAATGTGTGTGTGTGTGTGGCATTGGCATTATGTATTAACATGCTCGATTACGTCTGCATTGTTGCCTCTGCAATGGTAGATTGATCAGTTCTATGTAAAGTTTCAGTTTTGATCGAACTTTCTAGAAAGAGAAATTTTTTAGCGTGATTGTATAACTGTAAGGTTAATTAGAACGAATGAATTGAAATATCTGTGTGAACCGTGTTATACTGTAATATCATTATTAGTAACTTCCATTGCAAGTTTCAGAAGTACGTTTGGTTTACTGTGTATTGAGAAGTTAAAAGAGAACTTTTGGTTGTATTTCTAAGTGTTTCCAAATTGATGCTAATTTTTACAAAACTATAACGAAAATAATAGCTTGAGCTTGTTTTTTTGATCAATTTTACTTTCTGAACTTAGGATTAGATGAATATCGAACTAATTTCAGTAGAAAACTGTTACATTTGCGTTTATGGAGGAACTCAAGAGAGGAATTTTGGAGCTCTCTAACTGAATTTTTCATATTCAAATGCAGAAATATATAAGGTCTGTGTGTGTGTGAGTGTTCGTATCTATAAATAGGAAGACAAATTGCTTATTTTCAGACTGATGAATTTGTTTTTCCGATTTATATCTGCAGTAACTTGCGTAGTATACAAATATACAAATATAAATCGGCGGGTACGAAACACGTTGATTTTTAAGCACGAGAATATGCAGAGAGAAATCTCAACAACCGCCGGCCACGGTGGCGCGTACAACTACAACACTCCGTCATCGCCGCCGTCGTTCCTCAGTCAACCAAATGCATTCAATCTAACATCACTTTACTCGTCGATTTTGTTCCCTCAAAATCAAAATTCTCAGTCGCTTATTGACCAGCATTATCATGAAGACCTCATGGATCGTCACAACAGAGTATTATCTCAGCTCCTCGAAGCAGAGAAAAAAACCCTAGCTCTTCGTCAAGAGAATATAAACTTAAAAATGGCGAATTTCAATTTGAACAATCAGCTGTCGTTGTTGCTGAAGGCTTCGAGTTCGGATTATGGGCCAGGTTTGGGCCTGGATTCGGTTGTGGATGGGATACGGAGAATGCGTATTGGTGTTGGTGAGGAGGAGACGTCCAGTGATGGGCATTCGTGGGAAGATTTAGTTGCGGATCGTCATTTGAGCCCAACTAGTGTAATGGATTCGGGTCGGTCTGAGGGCGTGGATCGGGTTCTATTGCCTAAGAGTATATCTGTGCGTTCGAATGGTTATCTGAAAGCAATTCATGCTGCTGGTGGAAGTAGGCCGCAGACTTCGATCAAATCAGTCCACACAGCGGTACATATTTCTTTTACCTTGTTCAGTCATTTTTTCCCTTTAACTAATTATAATATAGAATAAGTTTATACAATCACTATATAAAAACAAAACATAGATCTTATTTTTTTTATATGCTGATTTTAGTTATGTACTTTGTCATGCATTTATATTTAAATATTATGGACCCAATCATAACATTAAAAATATTGAGGACTCATAAAGCGATCATAACTAATTGCATTATGTTTCTTTGTAATGAAAATGTAGTGTTCTTTCACATTATCGTTTATTAATTGGAATAATGGAGTCAGTAGTAGAATGAGTTGGTGTCTAATATGATGGGGTTCTAGAAATATACTCCATTTCAAGTACACAGTAGCATTTTGTTTACATTGCATTGACATATTTTTTAAATGAATGGAGCATCTCTAAATTCATTCAAATTAATTTTACCTATGATAATTGAACTTTATCTTAAAGTAATAAAGCTATTTATTTTCATATAAAAGTTGTAAAAGACGCATTTTGTTTACATTGCACTTGAAAATACTCCATTTGATGTAATATACTTCTTCCGTTTCAATTTAGATGAGGTAGTTTGACTCGACGCGGAGTTTTAAAAAAAAAAAAACTTTTAAAACTTGTGGTCTTAAAAGTTTAAGTGGTAAAAGCTTTATGGAGCCATGATATTTGTGTGGTTATAAAAGTTTTTCATTAAGGGTAAAATAGGTAAATGAAGAATTTAAAGTTGAATTATTTCCAAATTTAGAATTTTGTCATTTATTTTGGAAGACACTAAAAAGGAAAGTAACTCATCTAATTTGAAACGGGGGAGTAGCATTTTGTTTACTTTGCACTTGAAAATACTCATTTCATGTAAATATAGTAGCATTTTATTTATGTTGGTTGCATTGACAATTTTTTGTATGAAGTGAGCGTCTGTAGCTTCTTTCTTGACAATGAGTTAGGCTACAGTATAAATATGAAATACCACAAAGAGTAATTACTTGCTTGGTCAAGACATATTCTTGATACCAACGATTCCAAAAGTGAAAGGATTCAAGAAGATTAGGATGACCAAGACGGTCAGAAAGCTCTGTTCAATTAGCTCACTAGCTAAGAAACATTATCTTTGTATTCTCTAACTTTTACCCTGTATAGAGATTGATTAAAATCACATGCTCAGCCCATGAGCTAGATTGATGGTTAATTTGTGCATGGCCTAAAACATATTTGGTGGTTGTGATGCAGCAAAAGGTGTATGTGAAAGGAGGAGGTAATAAGAAGGAAGAGCAACCACTTGAATTAGAGGTGTACAATCAAGGCATGTTCAAGACTGAACTCTGTAACAAATGGCAAGAAACAGGTGCATGTCCATATGGAAACAACTGCCAATTTGCTCATGGCATTGAAGAACTTCGTCCAATCCTTCGCCACCCGCGTTACAAAACTGAGGTATGCCGAATGGTCCTCAATGGTGATCCCTGTCCTTATGGTCATCGTTGCCATTTCCGCCATACCCTCACTGACCAAGAAAAACTCATGAGATCACTCAACACCAGGTCTTAAAAATGATCAAACTAATAAGTAATAACTTGATGGTCAAGAACCAGATACCCTTAAATTGAAAGATGAACTGTTTATAACCAAGTAAAATAATTGGAACACTTGTGAAAAAGAATGAATGCAAATTGAGAAATTGACTCTGTAAGTAAAAAAAAATAATTGCATCATAAGTCAAGAGGATGGTTGTGATAACAGAGAGTAGCTTGATTGCGTAGAAAGTGAATGGTGGTGGACTCGTATATTCTCTCATTATTTCTTGTAATTCTCTTTACGTACGTTAATGTCAACATTTAATACATAATGATACTTCTACCGAAGTGTTTGTTTGTTTTGTCTCTTCAAAAGCTAGATAGAGACTTCTCTAGCTGATGATGATTAATTTCAACCATATGTCTTTGATTGTAATTCAAATGGTGAAATATTATAGACTCCATGGAAAGTTGCTGATTTCTTTGTTTTTACTTCTTTTGGAAATGTAATCATTGTACATTTAATTTCTGGTAAACATGATCTTCTCATCTTCCGTTTCTCCACTTAAAGTTGCTCAACCATGTCATAATTTGAGCATTATTTGTTTGGCTTTTATTTGATGAGACCATAGGCTATATCAGTTGCTTTGGCATGCACCTTTACTAGTATTCATGGCTTCGCCCGTTGTCTACAATATTTGTATATGCCACACTTATGCATACAAATTCATTGTTCCAATTAGGAGTGACAAACGGGCGGGGCGGGTCGGATATGGTATGGGTCGAAAATGGGTAACGAAAAAACGGATAAATTATCCTACCCGGCCCATATTTAATATGGATAAAAACGGGTTAACCAGCGGTTAATATGGGTAACCATATTATCCATGACTTCTTGCATATGATCGTTTTTGGGAGAATTCTTAGTCTTCCTAACTTGAGGACCCCCCAATTTGAGGTTTTACAAATATAAAAGTTAGACACATTGGTCATCCATTGGTTACCCATTGGTTATCCATTTTCTAAATGGATAATATGGTTCTTATCCATATTTGACCCGTTTTTAAAAAGTTCATTATCCAACCCATTTTTTAGTGAATAATATAGGTGTTTAACTGTTTTCTTTTAACCATTTTGCCACCCCTAGTTCAAATCATTGAGACATCATTACTAACAATTCAGTTGGCTATTTTTATAATTATTGCTACAAAGCTTGAAAGACAAGGAACAAAGAAACACAAGAATCAAACGGAGACAGAAATGAGAATAACATGGATCTGTTGCAAAGTTCGTCGCAATTGGACAGATGTTCTATTGCGACTACCCTAAAACATACATGATATAATAGACACATCACATAGACAACAAAACCAGCAGTCACTGCAATCACTATCAGAGGTTCAATCTTTCGAGCAAGTTATAATATCATTTCTCTGTGGAAGAAGTTTCCTCTTGATTCCTGAGAAATCATGGCCAAAACTTCGTGTAGCACTAACTTGCTTCTTCAAGAACCAAGAGACATTGACTGAACTAGTTACCATCAATAATCATTAGAATCAAATGTTAGCTGTATAAGATTTTAAAAAACACAGATTCACACATCAAGCAAAAAATAAAACACAAATGAAAGGGTTCTCCCAATTTTGGTTTCGAAGATCTGGAGCAACATCGGATATTGTTATGTTATAAGGCACATTTGCCTCAATGATACCACCACTTGGTTGTTAGTAAATAAAACTCCTACTTTTTAGGTTTGTCCTAGTCCTTAGGAAGTAGTTTAACGTGGTTTTTGTTATCTAGTTTTTAGGAGAAAACTTTGTGGGGTAGTTCCTAATTTTTAGCTTAAGTTTGCTATGTCTTTTTTGTTATAAAAAGACTGCAGTTGCAGCATTGTAGTCAATCAGTCAAGCAATTTCTTTTTCACGCCTATTGCCTCTTTCTCTGCTCTATTTTTCACTTATAAATCTTCATCCTTTTCTGATCAGTTTTTCTATAAGTGGTATCCAGAGCAAGGTTAGATCCAGAAAAAAAGATAAACCTGTGAGAGGGAGAGTTTACCCAAAAACAAAAAAATTGTTCTTCATCTATGGCTTCAGAGAGCAATTTTGTGCAAGTAGCTATTCCCCGTTTTGATGGTCACTATGACCACTGGAGTATGCTGATGGAGAATTTCTTACGGTCAAAAGAGTATTGGCCAATTGTTGAAGACGGCATTAAAGCACCAGCAGTAGGCGAAACTTTGATGGATGCTCAAAAGACTGAGTTTGAAGCAAGAAAATTGAAAGATTTAAAGGAAAAAAATTATCTCTTTCAGGCTATTGAGCGTCCCATCTTGGAAACCATTCTTTGCAAAGAAACTTCCAAGGATATATGGGATTCCATGAAGAAAAAGTATCAAGGCTCTACAAGAGTGAAGCGAGCATAGCTTCAAGCCTTGAGGAGGGACTTTGAAACCTTGCAGATGAAGGAAGGAGAATCCGTCACCAACTATTGTGCTAGAACCATGGAGATATGCAACAAGATGCGATTCCATGGTGAGAACATGGGCGATGTCGTAATAGTGGAAAAGATATTGCGCTCTCTGACACCAAAGTATGATTATGTCGTTTGCTCCATTGAGGAGTCAAAAGACATAGATGTCTTATCACTTGACGAATTGCAGAGCTCCTTATTTGTGCATGAGCAGAAGATGAACCGTAGTTCAACTTCCGATGAGCAGGCTTTGAAGGCTTCTACTTTTATTTCTTCTTCCAATTCCAGAGGAAGGGGTAGAGGTAGAGGTCTAGGTAGAAGAAGAGGAGATCATGGAGGTAGAGATTCCTGTAGGAATTTCAAAGCAAATAATGATCAATCTCAAGGCAGAGGTCGAGATTATGACAAATCCAAGATAGAGTGCTATAAATGTCATAAATTTGGTCATTATGCATCTGAATGTTATACTAGGCTGCCTAATGACAAAGAAAAGGAAGGGAAGTCCAATTACACGGAGAACAAGGAAGGTGAGCCTTGTTGATGGCAATTCAAGTAGAGAAGGAAACCGAGCGAGATGTTTGGTATTTAGACACTGCACTAATCACATGACTGGAAGTAAGTCTTGCTTTTCTTACTTAAATGAAGGCTTCCGTTCTTGATAATAGGCTATAATTGCGTATTTTAGTCGATTATTACACTCTAATTTACTGCACTTTAGTTGAGTTTGCGCTTTAATCGCTAGTGTTTTGCACTAACGGTGTATTTTATGCCTTGTAGGACTGATTCCGAGCTATATAGATGTTATGGAATGAATTCAAGTGATTAGGAGCTTTGAAGTCTGAGTAAAAGCCCAAGGAATTAAGCCGGAATCGTATTCGGAGATCAACGGATGATAGAGCAACAAAACGAAGAATCGAGTAGGCATATTGCGCAATGTCTAGTAAAATGCACATAACTTTTTGCTCATAACTCCATTTGGGCTCCACAATATATGGTTGGAAATCTAACTCAAAGGGCTACAACTCTCATGTTTTACGTTTTTTCAAATTCCAAACGGAACAGGGTGAAAAACGTGGTCGAAACCGCGACCGCGGAGCTGAGGCGGGCTGAGGCAGTATACCTGCCATATACCGCGGTTGTACCACGGTTGACCGCGGCCGCGGCAGTCTAGACGTGAAATATTGTCCTTTTTCACGTAGGAGAAGGTATAATTGTTTGGGCTCGACCCTACTTGGTATATATACATGGAAAAATGATATTTTTGAAGGTTGGACACACTTTTGACATAATTTAGACCTAAGGAGGCTAAGGAGACCGGGGATTCGACCTAAGGAGTCAAGAACACACTGGGAGCAAGGCGGAGAATTCTTCAACGAGTTTTTCCTTCCTCTTCCTATTTTTCGTTGTTGGTTAAGACTTTTAGTATTGTAGTTTTACATACTATTATGAATAACTAATTTGTTATCTAGGGTTTTGATGAACCTTTTGTAGGATAAATTCTTGGTATGTTTTTATATAATTGAGCAGTTGGATTTCTCTACTTGTTCAACTACGTGTTTATTGTTGTTGATTGAATGACCATCGATTGACTGTGCCTATTTATTATGTGTTGCTTGAGAAAGGATACATATTTAGGTAGTTGTTGAACAACGTCACTCCTAACGTATGTGAGAAATCAATATATTGGGTTTAAAGATAGGTTTAGAAATAACAAAGCCTTGACGTGGTCATAATGAGCGGTTAGATAAAGCCAACTAGCGTAGTTCGAGAGAATATGTCTAGTAAATTATTGTAGTTGCTCGAGAGAGAGAATTACGACACCTAAAGTGCTCACGATCAGTAGAGAATACATTGGCGAAATTGTAGGGAACATAGCTAGAAGGATTCCGATAATTGGGGAAATCATAACTCTAGACCTCCTTAATTTAGTCTCCAACCCTTTGTCTCGTTAGTTGATAATTTTATCGCTTTGTAGTATTTGCTAGTTAATTAGTTAGAAATATAAATTTCAATCTTTATAATTTAGAAAATTGTTCAAACTTGTCTTCTCAGTGATATTAAACAGGTATAGCTAAGCCTTAGTTCTCTGTGGGATTCGACTCCGGACTTTTAGATCGGATTATATTTGCAGCGATCGCTTATCCTTTTTAGGACTAGAGTTGGGCGTGATCAAATTTTGGCGCCGTTGCCGGGGAACTAACGGTGTAGTTGTAGCTGTATATATTGCTAGGGTTCAAGTTTGAACTTTTATTTTGTTTTGTTTTTTTTTTTTTTGTATTTTTTTTATAACATTTGATTTGAGAAACATGACACCTTGGAATTATGGGAATTTAGGTGTGGATAATTCTACTATTGATCTCCATACATATTGTGAAGGAAACCACCCGTGGCAAAATTTTCAAAACGTTCCTAAGAGCGAGTTATGTGCACCAACTCAATCTTATTTGTGGAATGTGTGTGATGTGTGTGGTGGTAAAAATGGTCACCTTCATGGTTATGCTTATATTTCTTATTTTCCCCAACCCCTTACTATGATGGTTCTACCTTTTCTTGTGAAGTTAATAGGAACAAAGAACCTGGGAATGCGGACCTGAAGGAGATCAAGGATATGCTAAAGTGCCTTCTGGAGCAAAACAATGAGAAACAATTGCACATAGAAAGGCAAGAGGCAACTATTCGCAAGTTGGAGGCTCAATTGAGTCAAGTGGTTGGAGCTTTTAATGCTCAACAAGCCAATATTGAGGATAGTAGCCAAGAAGAGCAGGAATTTGAGGTGTTAATTGGGGAGGTCAGAGTAGAACATCAACAACCTAGCCAACTACAATTTGAGGATGTCGATGTTGAAGACGTGAGACTAGAGTCAGCCAAGGACATTGAGGATATAAATTTTGTTGACTCTAGTATCATTAATGTTGAGGATGTTGAAAGTCCTGATTCATGTGTTTGAGTACATTGGTCCACACTCCAAGAATTTTTCCACATTATGTTTGGATGATGATATGGAAATAGAGTCATCCGAA